TGTATTTTAGGTCAGGGAATTACGTTTCTGCAGACACCAAAGCTGCTCTGGGTTAGAGCAACTTAGCATGTCTGTTTCCTGGAAACGGGCATAGAAAATATTGGGAGTCTTTTGAATAAACTCTGCAGGAAAAACAAACAGGGACTGCTGTTAGTAATGCTAATTATGCTAAATGCTAAAAACAGCTCAAAATGGCAACTCTATAATGGTTTCTGTTTTACTGAAATCGTGTTTTACTACTGAGGTGTGTAACACTGACTGCTCTCTGACACACGATGTGATGGTGACAGTAATATAAATAATTAATGATCAGCCAAAGAATGGTTTCTTAAGACTTATTTTATGATTGCAATGGATGAAGTGCCAATCTTAACACATAATGGTAATTCAGAGCATTTTCTTCCTAAATATTAAGTTAGACACCATAGTTGTTTATTTGGAAATAAACAATTTTTTAAATTATCTTGCAAAAAAATAACATCCCTTACATTTTTAGGTATGACAAAAAAGGGAAAAAAAAAGTTAATGAGCTATAATCTGTCTGGGAAAGGAAACACAGGGTTTCCCCCAGTGTGTTATAAGCCTGGCGGGCCACCAGGCTTTATTTGTGCTTAACATTGCTTATTTATTGAAGTGTTTTTAAATGTTTGCATTTTTGAAGACTTTATAATTGGTGTTCAGATATTAATCTTCCAATGACACATCATTATCAAGTGATATTTTCACATTTCCTATCAACTTTAAACATTTTTTAATTCAAAAACACAGTGAGCCGCTGGATGAATGACTGCTGAGCGCCCCAACCACCGGGCTTAGCGAGCTTTCTGAGGAAATCCTTGAAACGTATGATGTGATTTTTCACATTTGTCTTTATCTTTATCCTTCTGTCCAAAAATTCAGAGATTTCACTGTAATTGTAGATTTTCTGCGATACAGAAAAAGGCGTCGTTCTACTTTTACATTTACTAAACGGGTTCAGTTTAAAACCCTGATCCAAAAATCTAAAAATCTAAAAATAAAAAAAACAGAAAAAGAATTTTAGTTTTGTATTTGTGTGTCTTTATTTGTGATTTTCTCATCAAGTTAGTAAAACAAAACAACCAATGAACTAACAAGCTTATGACAATCTACATTAAATCTACATTTCAAGATAAAAAAAGGCCTTTGGTTTTTTTTTTCTGAAATTCAGAATACTATATTTTTGTTAATTTAATAGGGGGGGGGGAGACTGGAGACTCCTACGTTTTTCTTTTCCATACATAATTATATTTTTCCATACTTATCCAGACTTGGAAAAAGATCAAATTGTATCCCAGACTTTGCTAGACTTTCCAAGCCCTGCGTGTTAAAGATGCGAGCGTTTTCCCGCCGTATTTCCAGTGTGACCTCTTCACAGTCTGGCACTCTGGAGAGCCAGAGAATCCAGCCTCACAGAGTCTGCCTGTATTTGCTCCCATCCTCTGAGCTTCTGAAAACATCCAAATTTGATTTCAGAGTGAGTCTACAGGAGCCTTTAGCCTGTTTACTGAATCAGACGCTTCTCTGTCTTGTCTCACAGCCTGCCTGCCTGGCTGGCTGGTTGCAGAGAGGCCCCAAGAGGGACAACAGACGGAAAGAAAAGTTACACAGGCACACCAACACACACCAACACACACACACACATTTCAAACACTTGCAGATGACTTTAATTCCTCCTTCTCCTTTGTTGCCAATTTATTTGGTAACCCACTTTGAATGGATGCATCTTCGGTTTTCAAGTTTTTCTGGAATGAGTTACAACTCCTTTCGGTTTGTCAGAAGAAGGGTCTTAAAAGAGAAAGAAAGAAAAAAATCTGAACAGCAGCACTAATTAATGTGGTGCGCCTGACAAGTGTTGCTGCTAAAACAATTTCATTACATCACCAATTTAAATTACAGAGGAAGGAGACACTGGAGGGTGCGCTCGTTCTTAGTGTGTGTTTACACACTTTCTTAGACAGACACAAAGAGGGAGTGGACGTAACGACATGAACACCTGCAATCCAATGCAACACTTTTGCAATGAATACAACGCCAAATTCAAGAATTAGAGGCTTGTTGGTGAAATATTCTGAGTTTGTAAACTTGTACTTTTAAAATGAAGACAGAAACGTCTTCGTCACGTTTTGTGAATTGGAAAACACTTTTAGACTGCTCACTGTAAAACTATAGGCATTATTAGCATTTCTAAAGGGTGAGGTATATCAATTTATTTTGTATATCAGAGCACTAGCACAAAGGTGTGACGTGAGGTTCACACCTACAAACTGAGACGTTTGCAATTGAAAACAGTAAAGGGAGATGGTTCCAGACCCACTCACAAATGTAAATAGTTTTCAACCTGAAGGCACTATAACCACTGTATATTATTGTTATTTACCATAAAAATAACAGATAAAATGTTTCACTTCGCAACATTTAACCATCAGAATGACTTTTAAAACGTGTTCAATTTTTTTAACAAAAGCAACAAACAGAAAGGAATGTGCTTTTTTTTTTAAAAAAAAAAAAAAGAAACTATCACAACAAAAACACAAAAATTTTAATAAAAAAGATCAATATGATTTTCTTTACAGATCACACATCAGAAAGTGCTTTGCAAATGTTCGAACAAAGAAACGAGAACGCAAAACATCACACCAAAACTGCTGACACAAATAAACTAATGATTATTAGACGACTAAAATAAACGCCATGTAAACTACAGAACAGATTAAACACAGAGTTTTTAAGAGGGAAAACAGCAGCAATAAATGTTATAAAATAAAAAAATTAAAAATGCAATGAAAGTCTTCAATTGTAAAATACTATAAAACTGCCATCTAGTTTTTAGACTTCATGATGAAATCTAAAAACTAGAACATCTGCACTCTCCGCCGCCCTGATCTTTTGAGGGCAGAAATAAACTCACCAAAAAAGATTACATAAAATTGGACACATGTTTCTCTATGGCTGTGAAAGGCATTGCATGTAGCACAACAATGAGGTTAACTAGGGCCGAGATAGCTTTACTTTCAGATTCAGTTAAATGCCATATAATCGTATCCATCAGGTTTCCGAGCAGAGCCTGCAGAGTGCTGACTCCGGCTGTCACAAACAGTTCACTTGCACTGTCCCAACTTGGTCTTTTCAAGACTCCAAGATATTTCAGTTTTCTCACGGACACTTTTTTATATTATCTGACAGTTTGAAAGAAGAATATTTGCCTTCTTTTGTTGAACGGATCGTAACAGCACTGTTACAAGCATTGTACTTAAAATGATGTCCTACGTTTTGCAGAGTGTAACAGCTGTTGAAAACCTGCACTTGAAGAACTAAAACTCACAAGATCATCTGCATACATAATGTGAGTAATTTCCAATAAATCATCCAGTAAATTCTTATAAGCACAACAACAACAACAACAACAAAAATGGATGGGCATGAGATTATAAGGATATAATTAATTAAGCCAGCTGAGTGTCAACCACAACAGAACTTTGCTTGCTTCTTTGCACAGGATTTTACATTTTACAACTATGTACATACTATATTGTATATTTGTTGTAAGTATACTGGTTAACTAAAAAAAAAAAGTGTATTTTAAATATCTGTAATCTGCACTTATTTATCAATAACATGGATTTGGAATTATATTTTTGCATCAGATAAGAATTACAATGAATGTATGTTGATGTCTGCTGCAGGACCAATAGCTATTCTCTTATTCTCTTGTTTTGGGGGTTTTGTTTTGTTTTTTTACAGGAATTATCAAGTGCAAAGGGGTAGGGGCTAACGGTAGGAAACGGGATTCAGGCTAAGAATACAAGCTCTACATCACCCTGTCCTAAACTTCAGCAGTCCTGTAAGCAGGCTGCAGGGTAATGAAAGAGCAGCAGTCTCCACCTCCTCCTCCCTCTCTCTCCAGCTATCCCTCCTCCCATCCTGAGCTCCCCCCTCTCTCTCTCTCTCTCTCTGTGCTGCGCTCTGCCCTGGCTGGCCTCACATCCAGACGGCAGGAATTTAACGGGGAGGGTCTGCCAGACTTAAGACACAGGGCTGCAGGCTGAGACCAAATGAGGCACTGCTGGTTACCAACACAGATACTGATTTTGGGTTTTGTGCAGCGCAAACAGGATGTGCAAACCAGTCTGTGGAGAAGGATCAAGGGTGGGTGTGCGCTGCAAGATTTCAGAGTGGGCACCAGCTTTATGGCCATCTGGACACTGTATAACTGTAATATTAAGGGTACAGTAAATACACTTTATTATTTATCAGCTTGAACAGATAATTTTAAAAAAAAATGGATTTGAAAAATGTTGCAAGAAGGACTTTGATCCCAAATGTCCTAATTGACCTCCTACTGGGAGCCAGTGAGATTCTGAAATTCATTCAGTAAATAGTGTCATGCATTCAAACCGAAGTGCCAAACATCACAGAAGCTGCATGACAGGTGTTGTATAACACAGCAGAGAAGGAGTAACACTTGGACATGCCAGCTAATTGCATTACAACAGGTAGCCGATAATAGCCTTGATGGGAGTCAACAAGCCCAGACACACGGCTGACTGTTAGCTAAGTGACATACATTCAACCGAGCCATCAGCTGATCGACCGAGAAGACACATTAACCCACACACACACATAAAATAAGCCTGCAGCCACTCTCTTCCGAACATATTTCCACAGCACTGTCCGAATGCAGTCACCTCCTTTTTAAAACAATCCCAATAAACGCTGCCGCTTCAGCGCAACTCGTTCGCACGGTGTTTACATACAATGGAGCAAGCAGTCTGGCTATTAAAGCGCTCCGTCGCGGCTCACGCAGCCAGAATTTGCCCCCTTGACACCAGTTCACCAGCGGCTGTTAAAAGGTTTCCCGGAGGTCAGCCTATTGTTAGCAGGTAGTGGCTGTCCGGCGGGAGGCAGAAGCCCCACATCCAGCATTCAAACCTCGGTTTGCAACAATAATTTAGGAGAAAATAACCAGGCGCGAAACTTACTTTCTGCTCGAAGCTGAGAGGCAAAGCCGCGTATTGTTCCTCCGCGCCGCGTGTTTACGGCTCTCCGCTCCTTCGCTCCCTTCACTTCACAAAGACGACGTGAGAGAACCCCGAAGACGGTGTGACTGACTGACTGACTGACTGAATCAACTACCGTAGAGCACGGCAAGTTGAAGTGTCAGATTACACTGGCTATTCAGTTACCACAGAGAGCCGTGCGCGGTGGTGGGAGGAAAAAGGCGGCCTAGATTTCCTGCGGAAGGACATCAGTGGTTAGACGTAATAGTAACATTATAACAATACCTCTGCTGGAAATATGCAGTAATTAACTTCTGTGATCTGTTTCTTAATGCACATATTTTTCAGCCATATTATTATTATTAGTAGTAGTATTACTATAGGCATAACATTTGTTAGTGATGATATTTATTTATAAATATATAATTTTTTTTATAAATATATTTATAAATAAATATATTTATAAAAAATATAAATATATTTATATTTTTATATATCTTGGTTTTTACCTGAATATTCTTTACTTGAAATTATTTAGTCATTTTAAAGACCAATGTTTATTTAAATTTTCAGGTTCATCTGATTAAACAAAAGCTAAGTACTTTTTTCTATTTTTTTACATGAATGCAAAATGTAGTAAAAAAATGAACAATGGAAATTTACAATAGTTTTCAGTTGTCTGTTAAATGTTGCATTTGGCTGTTTTATTTTTTATTTTTTATTGTATTTTATTTGTTCAAAGTCTGGATTACTCCTATCAAGATATCAACATTTCATGTTTTTTTTTTGTTTGTTTGTTTTTTTTTATGTTGTTTTTTTTAGCTACATTTGGTATTGCATTGTTTTTGAAATATTTATAGCTGGTGGTAGAGGCATTTATACACTCAATCTATGTACACTCAAAATACTATTAAAACAAAGTCTTGTTGGGCATGATACTGAGTCAAGAAACAGCCGAACATAAATGATTAGAAATACGCCCACAAGAAATGTGGACGGGCGTCTAAGGTTATTTTGGCATGTAAATCTTTGCATACTGGGCCCCGCTCCAGCAGCTCCATACGCCAGTTTCCGTGTTTTGCTGGCGGCCGTCCTCCTGTGGAAGCCTCGGAATAACAAAGACGTGTTTGAGAGCAGCGGCAGGCTGGGCTGAGCGCTGACGTCAAGGAACAATGTCTCTCCTCCCGACACGCACGCACCCTCGCACACACACACGCGCACGCACGTCTGCACGCAATCTCTTTACTTCCCCTGTGTTCCCAGTCAGGCAAGGCTGAACTGCCCCAGAGGGAGGGCCGCTCAGCTCGCAGCGCATCAGTTAGAATCATTCACTCCTCATGCGGTGCCTACACGCAGGATTTCTGTAGTGTGCGTGCGCGTTGGGTTGGGAATAAACAATCAATGGACGCATAGATAACGTAATACCACGTAAACCATAAAACGAAAGAAGAAAAACAAACAAACAGGAAATCTAGTCCTGCACGTGCAGTGTGCACCAGACCCGCACCATACTTCCTTTGGCTGAAACTTTTGGACAGAAGATCGCCAACGAAAGTGATAACAATTGCTGTGCTCAGTTTACGATTTCACTTCACACTGTGTCACAAGTCCAAGGGTCAGATTCCTGTTTGCAGTTCTTGGCTCGGGCACCTCTCTTTGAAGGGGAGGAAGTGTCTGCCATCCTTTTAGCTTCCTGCCTGCAGGGTTCCTGACACTGATGCAGTGTACAGCCTGGGCTGGGTAGCCATGTGGGTTGGGTGTGGGGTGGGGGGGTCTGTATCAATGTGTCTCAAGGACACCCCAGCCCTCTGGTCAAAGCAGCCATGATCACTGATGGGGACAAATGCAACCAGTGACATCAGCTGCTTGGGCAGTTTCTCATTTTTATTTCAGGGAAGCATATTTCTACAATGGAAATGAGGTTAGCAGTCAATGTCACATGCTGTATCTGGGAGCTCATGTTTTTTCTACCTTTAAATGGCCTCTGAAGATGAATTATGTCAATGTGTCCTCACTCTTTGGCTCTTTGCAAGCCTCTACTTCTGCAGAGGCCCCATGATGGTCATGTGGAAGAAATGAGGAAAGATTTTTACAGTATCTTGAAAAACGTCTTGAGAAAATTTGTGTAACACCAAGAGAACCCATTTTTGTGATGGTTTTTGCATTTCACAACATGTTATTACTATTGAATAATTTGGCCTTTATACAGTTTAGTTCCCTAAACTGTTACAAAGAACCTCTATTTGGTGACGAATGTGTGTTTCAGGATTTGTCAATCTAAAAGTACATTCTTTTTTTTTAAATGCTACGTAGACATCTTAAAAACAACGAAACATTCTTTAAGTTTGAGCTAATTTAGACATTTAGAAGCTGTGGAGGGTTGTGGGAGATGGGAGGTAATGTTGTTAAAGCGTAATGTTAGCATTCTCCGATTCTATAGCAGAGTAATTTTGATGACTTGGAATCAGCAGATGGCATATCTCTTGGTGACTTTTTCCACTTAGCTTTCAGTCTAATAATACTATCTCATGTTCTGGTTCATCCATCAAGTTTTTGTTTTATACTAACTAAAAGGCAATAGGGCATGCTATGGGTGTTAAGGGCCTGCAGCTGGTCAGGTCATCCTGCAGTTCAGAAAAAAAAAAATGTCTTGTTGAAGAGCTTTTTGTTGTCATTGCGTGGCGTGCACTTCACCCTCTCCAAATAATTTAGTCAAATGGCTGCCAAGAAGATGGATGGATTTTAATACATATGGGTTCCGACTGAATTGCGTATAATTTCACGTGTGCTGCATTTTAAACGTTAAGCGAGTGCGTCAACGTAAACCAGAAGGAATAAACTTTGACAAGGTTAACCCACATTGTGTTTTAGCAGATCAAATTACCATATGAAAACAACTTAGTCTTCAGCACATTAATGACAATCAAGCCAGACTCGTTTTCTGACTTTGTTTAAATACTAAATGATCCTCATTCCTCTCTGTCATCTTTCTGCTCCTGACATTGCTTCTCTGTGCTGAAGCAGCTCTGGGGGGTGGGGGGGGGGCGGGAGGGATGGATGCTTCTTGTAGTTACATGATGGAAGGAGAAATTTAGTTGCGCTGAAGCTCTCTTGTTCACATGGAGGTGTGATGGTGGTTGTACTGTGCAACCCAGTTGTTTGCACCAGCAAACTTCTGCAGCGACTGAAAACCCTAAAAATGAAACAAGTCACATTGTCAGGAGGGACTGACACCAGTGGTTGGACTTGTGGTACTGTCTTGGTAATGAAACTCTTTCTAAAGTCTGTTACAGTAGACTACAGTAATATGACTGTTATAAGGGCGTCAATCCAAAACAGCCAACCACGGCATATCATACCGCTTTGTTTCTAAATCACTTTAAAAACTAGGCTGAACAAACTACTGAAAAATTACACAAGATTAAAAAAAAATGCAAGCTGCTAAAAGAGACAAAATTCCCTAGTTAATTTTAAAAATGCATTCGTGTCAGAATGTTCTGAACAAAAAAAGACGAGCTCAAATTAACCGAAAACAGAAGGTGAAGAAGAAATTTGTCCGGGGTTTAGTCGCAAAAATTTGCACAAGCATTTAAAAAAAAGTTACAGTTTTTTTTGTTTTGTTTTGTTTTTTTATAGAAACTTGCTAAATCATTTAGATTTAATCAGAACAGTTCCAGCTTGCGGGTCTCATGTTTAAAACACAGATTCAAATGTAAGCATGCTTTCAAGATGAAGATATTGTAAAATGGACTTAATTTGTGTAGCGCTTTTCTAATCATGCCGACCACTCGAAGCGCTTTATGCTGGAGCCACATTCAACAAGTCCCACTCACTTATGCAGGGCACAGTCATACACCCATACAAAGACCTGTAGGCAACTTAGGGTTAAGTGCCTCGCCGAAGGGCACATCGAGATCTGGCAGGAGGAAGCCACAAGTTCCGGATTACAGGATGACTATTCTTCCCACTGTTGCCTCTGAGCCATGTAGCTCAAGTTCCATGAGATAACGTTATTTGAAAGTCACACTATGTGAAAGAGGACAAATTCTCCTCTGTTAAGAAATATAAATTGGTGATTAATTGTCAAGAGCATGGCAGCAGGAAGAAATTGTTTGCAGCAAATGTGGAGCACAGCTGAATAGAAAAGTGGGAGATCTCAACAAATTTAGGTAGTAAAAAGAAATAATCTAAATTTAAGAAAAAGAAAAGAAAAGAAAACAAAACATGAAGGAAATGTAATAATAGCTTAATGTCTTGCAACCTGAACTGGAAAAAAAAAAAAGCAGATTTTGCCAACTGTGTTTAATTTTAACCCGCAAATTTATGATATTGCTTCTCTCCTACACAAGGACTGAAGAGCAAAGGTCAACACAGGATATCCTGCAGGTGTTGCTCTCATGTCAATTCACAAATTTCAGCTTCATTTATCACAAGATGACAAAATGGTACTTAAGGAGAGTCAACTCAGAGCGGTTATCAATGTTCTTCTGCAAAAAATAAACTGGCAGTCATCTTCATAAACACTAAAGAAAATGTTTGGCTTTTGTCAACAAACAAACAAACAAAAAAAAAAAATAGAACTGGACCAAGACTGAAGCCTTGATGTATTCCTCATGGAACGCAAGTAGAAGCTGATAGAAAACACACTGATGCTGACACAAAAAATTTACAGTGCGGGACTGAAACTAACAATTATTCCAGTGCAGAGATGAGGAGTTTGTGATCCACAGCATCAAAGGAAGTTGTTGGGTACAACAGCACAAATCCAAAGTCGTCTGTTGCATATTTCTTTTTCATCGTGATTGTTTATTCGATACATAACAATGCAAATAGATTACAGTTCTCTGAGGCCAAGTCTTAAAATAGTTTTTCTCTACCCAAACTATAGCCAGTGGACATTTATGCAAAAGTCATGTAATGTCCAAGAGTATTTCTATGAGGTCAAAACACATTGAAGGTCAAAAACCAAAAGCACAATGTCGAAAGATACAATGATTACATTAGACCACAGGAAACGTTTTTTTTTTTTTTTTTTACTGTTATTTTTTTAGTTTATTGGATTGCTGTATTTTTTTTTAGTTGTTTGCTTTGTTTTCATGAAATGTTAACATGTTTTCTGAAATCCATTGTTCTTTTGTTACTTCTTGTAAAGCCAAATGTATCCTCTCACTTGAAA